TATTTCTTGAATTGATTGACCAGATAGTTTTTTAATAGCTAAATATGTATTCTTAACTCTAGCTATGATTTGGATTTGCCTGGGGAGATGTTTTTGTTTTTGTTTTGTTTTCCTGAGGCTGTCTCCTGAGTCAGGTAATATTTTGGGGGTGAGGAGAAGGGAGTGTGCTATGTTGTTGTTGTTAAAACTAGACTTTATTTTTTAAAGTAATTTTAAGTTCACTGAAAAATTGAATGGAAAGTATAGAGTTCCCATATTTTGCCTATTTCAGCACATGCACAGTATCCCCTAACTTCAACATCCTGCATCAAAGTGATCACAATTAATGAACTAATACTGACACCATTTTCGCCCGAAGTCCATAGTTTACATTAGGATTCACTCTTGGTATGGTACATTCTATGGGTTTGGACAAATGTATAATGACATGAATCTATCATTATAGTATCAAACAGAGTAGTTTCACTGCCCTAAAAATCCTCTGTGCTGTGTCTACTCATCTGTTCTCCATCCACCCCAACCCTTGGCAACCCCTAATTTTCTTTTTATTGTCTGCATAGTTTTGCCTTTACAAGAATTTTATATAGTGAGAATCATACAGTATATACTCTTTTCAGATTGGCTTCTTTTACTTTGTAATATCCATTTAAAAATTCAGCTTTATTGAGGTATAATTGGCATATAGGGTGGGGGCAAAAGTAGGTTTATAGTTGTTCATATGGAAAATAATACAATAATTAACAAATAACAAGAATAAACTGTTTCTCATACTCAACAACTGTAAAGTTACTTTTGCTCCACCCTATATACAAGTAATGTGCACTTAAGAATCCTCTATGTTTTTTCATGGCTTGATAGCTCTTTTTATGGCTTAATAATATTCCATTGTCTGGATGTATCACAGTTTATTTATCCATTAATCTACTAAAGGAAACCTTAGGTGTCTCCAAGATTTTTAATAAAGCTGCTATAGCTCTAGCCGGTTTGGCTCAGTGGGTAGAGGGTTAGCTTGCAGACTGAAGGGTAGTAGGTTCAATTATAGTCAAGGGTATGTACCTCCATTGCAGGTTCTGTCTGGGAGGCAACCAATCGCATGAGTCTCTCTCACATCAATGCTTCTCTTTTTTTCTCTCTCCCTCCCTTCCTCTCTCTCTAAAAATCAATGGAAAAAATCTCCTTGGGTGAGGATGAACAAAAAATTTAAAAAATAAAGCTGCTTTAAATACTTATGTGCAGGATTTTGTGTGGACATAATTTTCTGCTCCGTTCGGTAAATAGCAAGGAGCATAATTTCTGGGTAATATGGTAGAGTATATTTAGTTTTGTAAAAAACTAACACATTGTCTTCCAGAGTGGCTGTACCATTTTCCATTCCCACTCATAATGAGTGAGAGTTCTTGTTGCTCCACATCATTGCCAGTATTTGGAATTTTCAGTGTTCTGGATTGTGACCATTCTAACAGGTGTGTAGTGGTACCTCATTGTTATTTTCATTTGCATTTCCCTGATGACATATGATGTGGAGCATAGTCTCCTCTAAGTCCTACTTTTATTTGTATTCCTTGCAAATAGCAGCATTATTATAAAAGCATTGCTCAGTGAATTTTTGTTGAATGAGGGCAGCAAAGTACAGTGGCTAAGCCATGGCCTTTTGGAAACAGGAAATTCAGAGCTCATATTTGCTATTTTCTTGCTGTCAACTGCAGGGAAATCACCTATCTTCTCAGAGTCCCAGTTTCTCTTTTTATATAATAGAGAATAATAAATAGTACCTATCTTATGAGTAGGACTATTGTGTCTGTCTCTAAAAGAGATAATGTATATAGAGTATTTGCCACAGAGCTCAGCAGAGAGTAAACACATATTAAATAGCTGCTATTATTAGTAAAAACATACTAAATAGCTGGTATTTTTGAATTAATACTATCATATTTATGTTGATGATAATGATTCAAATTCTCAAAGATAATTATAAATCATGCTCAGCAGACCATGATGGTATGTTGGGATTTTACACACACACACACACACACACACACACACACAAACACTATTGTATCCATGTAGATATGGTGGCAAATGTTATTGGCTTTTAATGAGTAATCCTGATAAATAAATAAATACATATATAAATATATAGTATATAAATGGATATTGTCATATATTTACATAGGAATTCTCTACTTTCAAATGTTATAGCAGAGACTATAATAAACTGGCAATGAATCTGAAACCATCTGTTTGAGAAAGTAGCTAGGAGGAAGTAGAGGCTAGGCTAGCTTTCCATTTGTATGTTAATGATTTTAGTTTGCCTAGTTTTAGAAAATTCAGTGTTCAGGTCAGAACTCCTGGCTGCCAACCTCCAAAACTCCCTCTAGCTAATTAAAGCAGACATGAAATAATTGGCAGGATTTGGGTAGGTGTGGTGATGGGGGCAGTTCACAGAATTACCAGGAAAGCTAGCTTTCCAGTCTTATAAAATTATAGCAAACACAGATGCAGTCAAAATGATCACATTACTAAGAATGCTGTCATAACTAGACCCTGTGTTTCCAGATCACCCACTGTCACAGGAGTGGGCTCTGTTGCCTCCAGCACTGGCTGCTGTAACCCCCGGGCTCAGCGTTCCAGTGTGACTATAGGAAATAACCTCTGAATGTCTGCATGCCTTGGCCACTTCTCCTGGATGGCTTATCTGGTGAGCCAGGCTTGGTTACACCTCTCTCTCCAGCTGCTTTGAGGAGGGGAGAGGACAAATCTGCTCCCACCTGCCTTGGGATTACCCATCTTCCTGTAAATAATCAGTAGAGCCACCAAGAAAGAGAGAGGCAACTTTAAAACTGTACCAGATAACAGACATCTCCTTCTCCAAACTTTTCCCACTCTGAGTGCATATAAAATAACAGCAGTAGCATTTCTATCCCTTTCTGTGTAGATAGAACTTTCGAGAGATCCCTTCTTTCTCAGATACATTAATGATGGCCAGTAAAGTAACCACACAGGGTTCAGTGACCTTTCTATAAAGTATGATAATGTGATGAAAAGAGTTGCTGCTGCCAGATACCTATTGCTACGCTCAGAAATGGGTCCTTTGGAGCCCAATGGGTGGAGTCAAATCTCCCCTCTTGAAAGGGGCAGCAGATGGTATTCTTTGCCACCCCTGGCAGAATAACGGCTGGAGGAAGCAGTGGGGCTCCATCTGGGAGAGAGTCTGTCTTCTGTAGCCAAGCAGTCAATGTGTTTGCAATCTTTACACTTTCGGTGGTGCTCTTGCAGAAGCTCAGATTGTAGGAGGCTGGAAAATCCCAACCAGGAAGAATCATACCTTCTCATGTTACTGCAGAGCAGATAGAGTGACTCTGAGAACCCAAAGGCAAAAGGTAACAGGGTAGAGTGGTGAGCATGTATTGAGAAAGTCACAAAATATTTAGTAGAAAGAATGCAAAGGTGGGTGGATGTCAAGCTCTGATATTTGAAAATGTTGGTGGCCAAAGAGTTTATCCTCTCTCCCAATCTGAACCACAATATTGAGCCAGAAAATGTGTTCATGACTATTTCCATGGCTCTTACTCAGCTACAAGTCATTTCCCCTTTCCGATGATTTCCATTTTTAAGGCTAAATTTCCATTTGCTTTTTGATCTTCTTCTTTTAAGACATTTAGCCAGTATCATTATGGGCCAAGTGCCAGATTTTCTTTCAAGGCTTTGAATTTGTCTTTTATTCTTTATCCCATGTAAGTGGATTCTGTTTGTGATTGGCTGGTCACAAGTAGACAGGGTTTCACTGGTAGAGCAAAAGAAAAGGGGCTTCTTATTAAAGGGTGGAGGCAAACCTAAACATTAGTGACTGCTTGGAGTAAAGATTCTGCAGGAAAGTAATAATGTGATTATATATCGATTAATGAATAATAAATGATGTGATACAGCCGAACATGAATGTTTCAGCATCAACAATTATATGGGACTCCCAAGATAAATTTTTTTTAATTGCTACATATTTACTATCCACTGAAATACCATTTTTAATAGTCTCAGTTTAATTTTTGATTGGACTTAATACAAACAGTATTCTGGAGCTGGATCCATTTGACATGAGAATTTATAAATGGTTTAATGGTACTTTGTGTTTTCCACAAAAATTGCTGATGTTTTTTTTGTCTTAATTTTAAGCTTTTTAAGGGAAAGAATTGTGAAATATTTCCCTTTGTATTCCCACAGCTCATAGCTATTACCCAGCTAGCAAGTGCTGAGCCCACACACACAGTCACCTTTGCCATTTTTCTACTAATTGTGGTGTAGTCAGTTAGCCTTACCTGTGAGTCTCACACTCCCCTATCTCAAGGAGTCAAAGATTACACTTTCGCATTGTTTCTAAATCGGATCTAAAGTTTTATTCTAGATGATGCAAATGAAGGCGCTTATTAAAGTGCCATTGTGGAGTTAATAATGGTTGCACTGCTAAAAATCATTTAATGGATGAACAGCTTTCACCACCCACACACATCAGGATAAAATAGGGCAGAGTTTTGCACTTGCTTCAACAGTATCGCCTGAGAAGTAGTTCTCCTTCCCATCCTTCTCTCTCACTTAGAATTTCAACTTGATCCTAATCAGCTGCAGAATCGTTAAACAGAATGCCATTCCGCCTTTGTGTTTCTGAACCTATGCGTCTCTATTGCAGACTGCACATCTTTATGGCAGGCACATTCTCTCCAATGAATTAAATCCAGAATATTCATTTATCCCCGTAGTATTTCCATAATGCCTCCCTCCCCTTCCAAAGGGGGAAACTTCCTTGCCCTTCTTCTTGTATGTTGTTCCCATCGCAAGATGCTCGGTGGAAGAGAGCCGAGCGGTGGGCAGCGGCTGAGTCCCAGATAACGAGCGCCTCACATTTCCCTGGCATTTCCATTTGCTAGTGCGCTGCTGCGGCCGCACGCCTGATTGATATATGACTGCAATGGCACTTTTCCATTTGACATTCTCTCTCTCTCTTTTGCAAATATAAAAGGCAAGCCATGTGACAGAGGGACAGAAGAACAAAAGCATTTGGAAGTAACAGGACCTCTTTCTAGCTCTCAGAAAAGTCTGAGGAGAAGGGAGCCCTGCGTTTCCCCCAAGGTAAGCAGGAAAACAAGCGCTGACGGCTTGCCTAGAAAATGACTCTTTCCGAACCGAGCATTTCATCCTCCTCGCAGACAAAGAGACAACCTTTAAATACCACTTAAATTTGCATTCATTTAATTTGCATTATTCTGTAGCATGCTAGCATTGTGTGTGTGTGTGTGTTTTTAAATAAACGGGTCTTTGAAGTCTGTGACAGAACAGGGGAGGCTCACAGAGAGGCTGGAAAATCTCTTTTGCTTTGACTTAAATAGATTTAATTCTCAAACTCTCTGCGTAGTTGGATGGAACTTTGTAATGGTTTTTAGGTTTGACCCCGGGAAAGGAGACTGAGAAGCAGCCAGTCGCAGACATGGATTCCGGATTCCCCAGTATCTTCCCCATTACCCTCATCCCCCTTACAATGGGGCACTATTAAGGAAGGCAAGCCTTCGAGTTTAAAAGTGCACTGTTTACTTTTATTACTACTTATGTATGCTGCTGATCTCCTGCCAGGGCTCTGCCGGAGTGCTTAGAATGACTTCAAACAATAGGCAACATTTATTTCTAGCTTTCTGTGTCACGGTCTTGCAGGAATCTGTTCCTTTGCACTCTTCTCCCAAACTGCGAAGACTTTGCTCCCATGGATGCCGTCAGGAGCACTGTGGAGAAAGAAGGATGGATTTACTATATGATTTTGATTGGGCAAAAATGCTGAGGAAATGCATGCTGTTTGACTTGGCCTTATTGCAAAGGGTTATTTTTAGTAGTCTGCTTGTCCCTGCGGCAGGACCCGATGCTACACGGTCTAAGCAGTGACTGAGAAAGGATGCTCTCACCAGCGTAGGGACCAGTACCTATAGCAGTGACTCACCTGAGGAATATTTGAAGGGTTTTTTTTTTCAATCTCCTGAATACAAGTTCTCTGTTTAAGTGAACAATTGGGCTGCAGTAGGCCTGTGCATAACTCTTTCTTGGGGGACGGGAAGTTTGACTGTGTACAGAATGTTAATGACTCAGAAATGCCCTGTAAATGAAGCTCATTGTAATCAAGGAGCCCAGATAAACCTGCATGAAAGAGGCAGACTCCCCTCTCTACTGAGATTCAGGTGCAGGACAGGGAGCTATTTGGCAAGATGAGAGTCCCAGGTTCTATTCTTTGCCGCTGTCATTAATAACAAATATGGATGCTATGAAACATGTCTCTTTTCATTCCTAATATTAGTGAATTTTAATTACAATTCAATTTAATTTTAATTGCTCCAACACATAATATTAAATACCAGGTGGATTTGAAAACATAGAGATGCCTAAAATGCAGGGTTGGTTGTGGGTGTCAACCAAATATAGCTGGGGGCTGGGGGGGGGACTACATAATGTTTCTTGATTGTGTCTTTAGATCAAATGCAAATATCTGCTCATTTTCTTCTCACCAGTTTGGCTTCTGAAAGTAATTTTAGGATTCTACCGACCAGTTTTCATTGTGGAGCACAGACATTGGGAGCTTTCTGATTTTCTCTAATAACTAGCCTATCAGGTATTATTAAAAGAAAATCTGGCTTTTCAATGAGTTAATTTACAAGTTTGGGATGCTGTCTGCTAGAGAAAGCCTTTAAACATGGCATGGATTCTATTGCTATACACTTTACCGGTGATTTTCAACAACTGCTGCTGTTAACAAGGAATTTAGCCGAATCACAACAATTTTCTTAAACTATTATTCAGATTGTTACATAAGAGTGTCTGAACACAAAGCAATGTTTTGAGTATATACTTTAAAGTACATTTAGTTCAGGTAAAGGGAAAACTGATTGAGGCCTTCTTGATGACTCTGTACTGAGCAGTTGACACCCACAGATGGAAACATGTCTTTGTAGTTTTCAATTTTAATTTGAGTTCCAATGACAAGGGGAAAATTAATAATTTTTCAATACAGTTAACAATTTCCAACTCTTTTATTTTCCTGGGTGAGCTTCTCAGAATTATGGCCACCAATAGAGGCTGGCAATTTTCCTCCATTTCAATAACTCAAACTCAAGTACTATTATTCTTATTGGTTAACTAGAGGCCCAATGCACGAAATTTGTGCAAGGGGCTCGGCCCTCACAGCCATGGTGGCTTGCCTCAGCCTTCACAGTCCCAGCTTCGTCCAGAAGGATGTCCGGCTGTCCAGTCTAATTAGCATATTATGCTTTTATTATTATAGATTATTCATTCCATAATTCTTCTAATGGATGATGCTAGTCCTGATGAATGTAAAGGTGGATGATACATTGTCCCACGCCCTCATTCTTGGTCTGTATGTTATCACCAGTTAGATTTTGGAACTGAAATGGACTTTGCCAGTGGGTAAACTGGGCAATGATTCCTTATTACAAGGAATCATTTGAAAAATCTGCTACTATTCAGATTTACTTGAAATGATTGCCGCTTATCAATGAGTTTTCCTACCATTTATGATTAAGGCGTTCCTGTTAGGCCTTTCACTGGATTCTGGGTTCACGTCACTTGCATAGCTGTCATGGCCTGTATCTTTCCTGCCTCGGTACAAGAAACCTGGGAAAAGGGCAGTTAAACCTTTCTCTGCTCCCTTGATGACTGTTTATATAAAGGACCACATGCTGTGTTTATCTCGGATGGTTGTGCATCACCTACTCAGAAGCTGACCTGAGGGCTGCTTGATGAATCACTGAATAAGAAACATGTACAGAGGAAGATGCAGTCACTATCTCCCATTATTTACTTGTCCTACCCCCAGGATCCAAACCAATGACCTCTGGGCCTCGCCTAAATTCAAGAGGCCCCTGGGAAGAAATTGCCAGAAGTTGTACTCCCAACCCACGCAGTGTTGCTTTTAAAGAATCCACTCTCGTGCTTTCTGACATGGGTAGGTTACTGGGAGAAAACCCGGAGGACAGCATCACCAGGGTCCTTGATTTGGTCCTTATCAGCAGATCATCATCCCCACCCCTGTGATTGGATTAAATGCCTCTGACTCCCTGGGGTGCCTGACTCACCCTAGCCAGCCCTCTGCTTCTTGGCCAGCAGCCTTCCAGCCCATCCTCACCTCTTCCCATGAATCAGTTAGTGCTACTTTTGTCCAGACCCCATGGCTGGGCCAGTGGGAGCTGAAGGGATGGGGAGGCAGGTGGGAGGACTGAGAAGTGCTAAAGCTGAAGGAAGGTGGGCAAGGCGAGGGCGGGTGAGCTCCAGGACCCAGATTTCTGTGGCCTGCCGTGGCCGTGATCAGCTGTCATTTCCTCTTCGTGTATGACACTGTGCAACATATTAAAATTTCTCTGGGATGGTATGTTTGGAATTCCTCTGATGCCCCACCTCACCAACTTACCCGGACAATAAAAGCAAGGTTGTAAGCCTTTGAACAGCTGGCAGGCTATATATTTCCTCTCTTTCTTTCGCATCATCTAATTCAGAAAAGAATCCAGCTAGACTGGCAGTGCCATGTCTGGGTACTTGTTTCCTGCAAGTGCTTCCTCCACCACATTCTCCCGCCCTCCCTGGAATCTTCCTGGGTGGCATGTGGCTTTTCTGTTCTTTTGCTCTCCACCACTCCCGCCCCGCCCCCTTTTCCCTTTGCCTGAGCTCCTTCCATTGTGAGCTTGCCCTTTGCTCTGCCCTTCCTGACAGCCTGGGTCCTGTTCCTTGAGGTCTCCCCATCTCCATAGTATTCCCAGGATGTCATTCTTGGCAGCAGCTCTGCAGAGCTGATACCGTTGGGGGGCTTTTGGAGCCTGGAGCCTGAACCCACTCGCGGAGAGGAGCAGCCACATGGCTCGGGTGCCCTTTAGGCTGCTGAGAGCAGGGCTGGAGTGACCCGGGCTGGCAGGGAGAAGCATACCATCACAGTGACCCGCACATCTCTGGCAAAGGGCTAGGGGTGGGAGTGCTATGGGAGGGAGTGCTATGGGAACGCCTGGGTGCACTTCGGCCTACAGTAAGAGAAATGTGGTTACTCTCTTTCAGAGGGAGAGACAAGTGACTTGAAACAAAGCTCCCTGGATTCTTGGGCCCTGCCCTGCCTTGCCCCCCTTTCTCTGTCCTTCCCACATTCTCCTCATCCCAAGGAAAAAGAAGGAGAGACAGGACCTTTAATTTAGTTAGCATGGGCCTGAATGTCTTTATGAAACCCATTTGGTGAAAGGGAGAAGGGGGAATGAATCCTGGGTTGAGCCAAACTAAAAATGCATGGGATTGTGGAGATGGAGGACTTTTTCTGTTTTGTTTGTCCCTTCTCTTAACACAGAACAACAGATGGGTTTATGAGTTGCAAATGGAAAAAACTGGACTTTTCAATTAGACATTCCAATTTAAGAGCCTCAAGTAACCCCCTCTGTGCAGCATCCTTAAAAGATGCTGCTAATGTCCTTGGTACCAAAAGGTATTAAACAGCAATCTACAATGCAGCTTCCTATTCCTTTTCTTTTCCTGGGGCCTTTGGTAGTCTTTCTGAATTAGCTAAAGTTCATTAAAAGACCCAAAAGAAAAAATTAACACAGCTGAATTAAAATGAGTCTTTTCCTGTTAGCTTGACAAGAAGGGAGGTGGGGGGGGGCGGGGAGGAAAGAAAAGAAAGAAAAGAGAACCAACTCCCCTCCTCTGCCACTTCTTGGGTTTTAATATGAATTATTCCATACAAGTCCCTAGGCTAGAGGATCTATTTAAAGACGCCTGGCAGCATGAAGAGAGAGGGTAAAAATACAACCACTCTTTTGTCCATCAAAGGTTTTCTTTGGGAGGACATTAAGAGCATTCTTATTTTCCTGTCTGCCCCTGCCAGTGGCAACATTCCAGCTGGTAGTACCCACTCCTCACCCATCAGATCAGCAAACATGAACTTCTGTGTTTTATTCCAACAGAAAAGAGTGGGGAATCCTTCTGAGACCCCTATGTGTGTACAGCAGGGTGGGAGAAGCTGGTACTGAAATGAATGCTGGTTTGTCTGTGCAGGTTGCATGTGGCAAATTCACATGCCCACACATTGGAGTTTTTCAGGAAGA